GTGTGTGCTCCCCAGCCCTGTGGCCACAAACCCCTGTGGAGATTTGCACGTGGAAACGGCCCCGTTCCTGCCCCTCAACAAAATCCCATTTTAATGGAATCATCCCAGGAAAACTGAGATTTATCCCAGCTGCTGATAAAAAGTTCTCCTGCTCCTTTCATCCTGTTTTGTCTTAGCCCGTGACTCGGTCCTGCCCTGCTCCGTGTGGGAGCCATTCCCAGGTTTTCCCTTCATGGACTTGCTCTTCCAGCTCTCTCAGACCAAAAGAAGGAGCCTGTGGCATCTCCACATTTCTCCCCACGTAGCACTGGCCATAATCTTGTTGGGATAGCATTAAAAGTATGGATGTTTTTCCATGCTATGAAATTTAAGGCTAAATACCATTTAAACGCCATTTAAAGTGGTGCAATCCACGTTCCCATTCAGATGGAAGTCACCAAAAGTCTCGTGCATGCAAAAAATCACTGTAAACCGAGTTCAAGATCATGTCACTACATTCTCAGATTGGTGGGAATTCTGGTGGCCAGGTAAGACAGGATAGGGGCTGGCCTCAATTCGAACTTACAGCAGCAATTAATTAGAGGATGTGTGTACATTTTGTAAGTGGTTTAAGAAGTACTGGTTAAACATTGATGAATTTTAAAGCAGGATAAGCACATAAATAAGAGGTCACATGTGATTTCTGATCATTTCTTGCAGCGTGTATCAATTTTTTATTAATTCTGGAGAGCTGTTTACAAACTGCCTGGCACCAGCTGCAGTCAGAAAGCAAATAAAGCCCTCAGAAAAGGAGGGAGAACCCGACAGAAACGCTTCCCTCCTCCAGGGGCATCAGGATGAGCCATTCAGGGAACAAAACTCAGCGTGGGGCTGTTCCCAGTGGATGCTGAGACAAAGTGGGGATTGTGGGACCTCTGGGCCAGTCCCAGCCCGGAAGCTGGAAGTTCAGAAAGGTCTCATTTGGGAAGTTTTATGTTATTCCAGACTTTTTAGACACAGGAGTGGCGTGGTTTGAGTTACCTTGAGGTCTGAACAGGCATAAAGGGATGCCCATACACAAACACAGCCTTGCCTTGCTCTGAGCTGTAAAGTCACTCTTTGGAGCGCCTTCAAACCGAGGAGATTTCCTTGATCCTGGAGACGAGAGGTGGGAGTGACAGCTTGGGCTGGCAGAGCCTCAGGCTGGTGCAAACCACACTGAAATCCATGGATATCTCATTATTCTTTGCACAAAACTGTGGCAGAGTTCACCAATCTGCGTGGGGGAGGCAAGTGTAGGAGCCAGGATTTCCGTGGGGGAAGAACTGGGGATGGGAGAACCTGGAGCCACTGCAAACCCATCAGTCCCAGGTGGAACAAACCCTCTGGGGCATTTCCTTCAGCAGCAGAAACAATGCAGGTGAAGGAGTTTTCCCAAAATTCCCAGCTGAGAGTGGCTGAGCTCCAGAGGAGCTCCGGGGGCTGTGTCAGGAAGGATGTGCTGCTCCCAGATAATATCCACCGCTTGTCCTGTGAATTCCAGAGTCTTTATGAGCCTTTCAAAAAGAAGAATAGGAAAAAAATCCTCTTTTCTCTCTGTTTCCCTTCCCTGGATCAGTGTTGGTACACTGGGATCCTCCTGGGAGCGCTGCTCATGGCAAGGTGTCCCTGGGCATCAGCTCTGCCTTTGTTTCCAAGCTCTGCAATATTTCCCTTCTTCCAGGTGGGCATTTTCTCTCCTCTCTGCTTGTGCTGATTGCTGATTATGTGGATGTAAGGATTGCTTTGTTTCCTTTGGAAAGCCTTTGCTTGGGACCGTTTCATCCTCAGCTTGGAAGCAGAGAGCGGCAGGAACATCAAACAGAGCTCTCCGTGCCACCTGTCTCCCTGCCAATAGGCAATTCTCATCTTTCTATTTAATGTATTTCCATCCCTTCATCCATTTGATGCTTTATCTGAAGCTTTTCTATCCTCCCTCCCCGACTCTTTTATTGCCAGGTGTTTTTTCCCCTCCTCCAAGCCTCAGCTGATTTCTTCAGGGAAGGTCCTCATCAGGTTTCTCTGCAGGAAGGATCCTTACAAAGGCTGCTGCTCTGGTGCTGTCCATGTGTTTCTCTTTGTGTCACCTCTTTGAAGTGATATCCCCCCTTCGTGTTTCATGAGGCGATCTTAAATTTTTGAGCAAAAAATCGCTTTATTCATACAAGGTCTGATCATTGTTTCCCTCCCACTTTCTCTCCATGCCAGCTGTTGGGATTTATTGGAGGGTGGTGCACAGAGGCTCTGCTGAGTCTGAGCCCCTCTTCCAGAGGCTGTTTCAAGCTTTGGAATGTCCCTGCTCCATGACCTGGGCATCAGCAGAGCCTGGCTTTGTGTCACCGTGTCCTGGGCTCAGGATCCACCTCTGGCCTGGGATGGTTTGGGTTGGAAAGTCCTCAAAGCGCATCCAGTGTGACACAATCCATGGCAGGGACAGCTCCCACTGTCCCAGGCTGCTCCAGCCTGGCCTTGGACACTTCCAGGGATCCAGGGGCAGCCCCAGCTGCTCTGGGAATCCCATCCCAGCCCCTCCCCACCCTCACAGCCAGGAATTCCTTCCCAAAATCCCATCTAAATCTCCCCTTTTCCAGTGGGAGCCATTCCCTGTGTCCTGTCCCCCCATCCCTTGTTCCCAGCCTCTCTCCAGCTCTCCTGGAGCCCCTTCAGGCCCTGTGAAAGGGGCTCTGAGCTCTCCCATCTGCAGAATCTCTCCTTTCCTTTCAAAGTCACCAGCCTGGAAGATTTCTGGGTCTTTCCACAACTTTTTCCACTTGTGCCATTAACCAGACAACCTCTGGCCTGTAAATTTGAGTTTTATAATCTTCTTTCTCACACAGAGAATCCCCTTGGAGCCAATAAACTTTGTAATGGCCTCAAACCACACATCAGCATCAGGATTTACCCAGTTTAAACTGTTTTTTCCTTAAGCCAAGCAGATAACCAGTACGTCCAGTCTGATTCCCATTTTGGAACTCACTTTGTACAAAATTCACCAGAAAAGTTGGTCATCTGGAATATAATCTCATCCAGGAAATCTGGGAATGAGGAATTTGGGAGGAACACACCCTCCCCCTTCACTGGAGCTGTTTACAGTGGGGTCACCACTAAATTCTAGATTTTTGTACACGTGCAAGGGCAGAAATGGGACACGTGCAATATTTATGGAAACGAAGCCTAGAAATGAAAATGGGGGTGGACCATCCTCCATTCCAAAAGTGCAGGGAGACCTTGAAAAGCTCTTTCTGATGTGACCCAGTTCTCCAGGCCTGTGGTGCTGAGCTGTGCGATGGCCTCGCGGAGCAGCTCCAGAACGTTCCCGAGCAGGGCAGGGAACCAGCCAGGAATGGCGTTAGTTTGGTGCTGCTGAGCTCCTGCAAGGTGCAAAACCAGGCCCAGGGTGGGATTGTCCTGGTGCCTGTGCAGGACTCGAAGATCCAGCTGGGTCCTTTCCAGCTCGGGCTGTTCCATGGTTCCCTGAGCTCCTGCCGGGAAAGGCTCGTCCCCTGTCCTGACTGGAGCCTGCCACTGAGGATGTGAATGCACAAAACCATTTATCAGCAGAAATGGGGAGCCCAGCTGGAGCATCTCCAGCCCCCCAAAACACTGAACAACCCAGGACACTGGGCTGGGGGAACATCTGAGTGCCAGGAGCCTCTGGAGCCTGGGCCAGATCTTGGCTCTGGTGGTGCTTTAAATCCGCCTGCCCCATGCTCCTGGCCTAGGTGAAAACACTTTAAAATGCTCAGGTCATTTCTTAAAGGATGGAAAAGGATGGATTTCCCATGTTTGTGTTGCACCCAGAGCACTCAGCTCCTCATCCATGGAATCCCCACAAAAAAAAATAATCCCTGCAGGATTAACCCCTTCCCTTCCCTTCCCTTCCCTTCCCTTCCCTTCCCTTCCCTTCCCTTCCCGCACCTTCCCGCACCTTCCCGCACCTTCCCGCACCTTCCCTTCCCTTCCCTTTATAATTTAATTGATCAAATCTCATTTTCCTTAGTGCTTCATAAAAAGATTTCAAGACAATCTCAAAATAAACCCAATGTTTATATGGATTATTTTTAAAAAAATAAATTAACATGTTCCCATGAGTGTTTCAGTAGGAAGTTGAATTTGATTTTTAGGATGCTTTGAGATTTGCCTGAAAACTGGGAATTTACAGGGCTTGGGGTAAGGGTTTGGGTTTTGGTAAGGTTGGATTATGGAATCCCAGAGCGATCTGGCTTTGAGGATCATCCCATTCCACCCTCCTGGATGTGTTCTCCCTCCTGGATGTGCTGTGTGAGGAAAACCAGCAAAAACTCTGAGTGCCACCTGAACTTCAGCTTCCCTGAGGGGTTTATTCCCCTGGGAACACGTAAATAAACAATCACATTTCTCCTCTGGCTGGGCCAGCTGGCGGGGGGGAACACGAGCGCGGAATTCTCCGCATGGAATTCTGGCCAACCTCATCTCTAAACTCTCCCCTGCCTGGTGTTACTGGGGGGTCTCTCGTTGCACAAGGGGAATTAAGCAAAGAGCGTTTTTTTGGTCAGTAGAGAAAACTCCTTCTGTTTATTCTGCCTGTTGTTATTTTCCTGTGGTAAAACGCCGAAGCAGATTGCAGCTGGAATAAACCATCTGCTGCCTGTCACAGCTCCTGGATATCCCACACGTGGGGGAAATTGCTTATCGATCCAGCCAAGTGTGAACAAGTAAGGGAGCCATGGAAATGTTTGTGTGTCCAATGGACACTCTCAGGGCTGCACGCGAGTCCTGCCCGGAGGCCATCAACTTCTAGGGGAAAAAATATCAGTTAAAAAAAAAATAAATTTATTTCTATAGGAAATACATAGTTTTAGTGAAAAAATTATTGGAGAAAGACAGACAATGCACTTAAAAACAAGAATATGGACATTTTGGTGACTTTCTGTGCTCTGTGTGGTGGCTCCTGCACAGACTGGAAGTTATTTCCATCAGCTGAATCACCCAGAGAGCCTCGGTGATGTCCCATGTACATTTATTTAACCAGTCATTTGCACACCTGCATTTCATTTTAACACCTGAAACCTCCTGGGACGGGGTCCAGGAGAGCCTGGAAATTGTTTTCCTGCAGGGATCCCAACACCTCAGTCTGGAAATGCTCCTGTGGGACTGAAAGCTGGAGAATTCCAGGACTTTTGGGGAGGAGAGCTGGAGCACGGGGCAGACTGGAGGAGATGGATTGGCTGGGAGAGCATTTCAAGCTCTCAAGAGAATGAAAAAAGAGAATAAAAAAGGTGGAGAGTTGTAAAAGTCACAGGTAGCAGAGAACCTGTGGATGGCTGCCTGCAATTCCTGAGGGAATCTTGTTCTGGGCTGGGCAGGTGGAGCTGGCTCTGCTTTTAGCCATGGCTGAGCTGCTCTCACAGAGATTTATGCTGCATTCTCCAATATTTATTTCAGAAACTCTCTCCTCTCCATGTCATGAAAGGGACAGGGAAGGAGTTCTCCCTTCCACACACACAGCAATGGAATTTTGTCCTGGATTTCAAATGCTGTGAATCACTGCTGCTGGAATTGCTCATATATCAATATATTTCTACATTTGAACCAAGTTTGCAAATTTAAAAAATGCCAAACGAGGATCAGGATCGTAATTTGTTTGGCTGAGGCGCAGAACTCACTGCAGCAAGGAGGGATTGCCCAAGTGTCTTCCTGCATTTTCCATCAGCATTTCTGGAAGAGCAGAATCTTTATTTTCCCCTTATCGACGAGCTTATTTTGCATGATTCCCTTTCTCCTCCAGAATCTCCTTGTCGCTGCCTGGGGGATGTTTTCCTGGTTGAATTGTGCCCAGGGTGAAGTTCCAGTGGGAGGAACCTCCTTGGAGGTGCTCTGGGTTTGTCCTGTTTAATTCTGGGAGCAGCTGTGGCTCGGGGGTGTGGGCTGAGCCAGCTCCGGTACAGTGAAATAAATCCGCGTGGTTGTGCGGGACTCTGCAGTCATTTCGCTCCTAAAATTATAAGTAATTAAACAGCTAATTAATTTGGTGTTATAGTCGCTGCTAGGGATTACTGAGCCTTGCTGGATGTGTGTGGAGAAGGAGGGGAAGCAAGTTTTCAGTGGAATAGTTCAGGAGTTTTGGGGTGGGCTCGGTTCAGGTCTCTGCTCTCCCCGTGCCATCCCTGCCCTCGTGTCCCCATTCCCAGCTGGGGTGGGAGCTCTGGTTTTCCTCCAGATTCTGGGCTTTTTTGAGGGCTAAGAGGGAGTGCAAGGCCGTGTGCTGCACCCCCCCAAAATGGGGCACCATGACGAGAGGGGTTACAGGAATAAATGGATTTATAAATGAATTTCTGTGTCGTTCTCCCCAGATCCCTGATTTTTACAGCTGGGATCTGCTCACAAATGGACCTGAGTGATCAAAGCAATTGTCCAAGGTAAAGGAGCAGTTTTGACTCTGAACTTCACCCTGGTGGCTGTGACCTGCTGCTTAAAATGAACTGAGTAGAAATCATTTTATAAATGAATTATTTAATAAATCGATTTATTCCTGCATGGGATGGATTGCAGAGGACTTCAGAGGCAATCCAGCTCCAACCCAGGCAGGGGCAGGGACAGCTCCCAGCAGAGCAGGGGGCTCAAAACCCCAACCTGAGCCCACCCTGGGTGGGTTTGGGGCTGTTCCCTCTGGGTGGGTGGGACAGAGCCCAGCCACTCTCACACACACTGAAAAAACCCACCCTGGGAGACCTTTGTGGAGTCCCAGAAGACTCCAGACACAGGAGATTACCAGCACTGACTCAACACAGCGTGAAATATTTGATTTTCATTTCCACGCTGCACTGGATGTGGGGATGCTCATCCTGGCAGCGATGGATGGACACAAATAAAGCATCAGGAACTACAGCCGTGGCATCAATCTGATTCTGGCTTCAGAAACACACGAGCCCCAAAAACCACGCTGGGTGCTTCTATCAAACCCTGAAAAATAAAATACATATATTTTATAAATAATACAAAAAAAAAAAAAAATATATATATATATATATGTGTGTGTGTATCTATATATTATAAATATTTGTGTATCTATATATTATAATATAAATATTTATATATCTATATATTATAATATGTACTTATAATATATTGATACATGAATATTTTTATTATAATAGAAACATATGTATCTATATATTATAAGATAAATATACATGTATCTATATATTATATGTATTTATATATTATAATATATGAATCAATATATTATAATATGAATATATACAAATATATATATTATAATAAAATATTTGTGTATCTATATATTATAATATAAACATATATATCTATATATTATAATATAAATATATACATATATATTATAATATAAATATTTATGCATCTATATATTGTAAATAGACATGTATCTATATATTATAATATATATGTATACATAGATACATATAAAACATATAATTTATGTCTATATGATGTGTAAAATACATTTAATGTGCCTTTATTAAACATTTCCCTGGTGCACAGAGAGCTCCTCACGTGTGGCAAAGGCTCCTGTGAGATGCAGAGCCCTGGATGCTCCTGGAGAGCTTCCAGAAGCAGGAGCTCCCAGGTCTGCCCTTTGCAGGAGCCTCACAAGGATTTTTGGGGCATTTTGCAAAAAAAGGATGTGCTCAACATCCTCTTTCATGGATCATTTACCTGCAGCCCAGAACTATTAAAAAATGCAAATGTTGGAAGTTTTAAATGCAAGCCAGGATGGGTTGTGATGAATCTCCTCATGAAAAATCATCCTCCTTTCTTTTAACATAAAAATGCAGCTGGGTTTGTGGCATTGATGTCCTCTGGGCTGCCTGACAGCTCCAAGCCCCAATGCTCTGCCTTCCCCAGAATCACAGAGCTGGGTTGGAAGAGACCTTTAAAATCATCGAGTCCAACCCAAAAGGAAGAAAAGATGGTCAGGAGGTAGATGTCAACAGAACTGCACAAGTGCTAAAGCTGGTTCACAGTACAACTCGAGACAGAAAACACTGAAAAATGTGCTTTAAAATCCTGGTGCTCTGTTTTCTATCCTCTGCTTTCCTTTAAAATAACCTCCGCGGCAGATAGGGTGCTCAGGATTGATTGCTTTGTTTTTGTCCCCACTGAGGGTGGGTGTCACAGGATTGTCACAGTACAGCTGGACTGGACAAGGTAAATCTGACCATAACACAAATCCAGTTCAGCTGGGCTTGCTCATGTCTGAACACATCCCTGGATAAGTTCTGGGGGAGCCAGCCCCATCCCAGATGAGAGGAAAGCACAGCAATGGCCAGGACACCGGGCAGGGAGAGAGATCTCAGCCAGTGGTGTCCAGCCTGGGAGGTTTGAATTGGGGATTTAAGTGAGTTCTGGATAATAAACAAGGCTGTTTGTCTCATGAGCACCTGGAACTCGAGTTGGGGGCTTTGTCTCCCCACCCACAGCTGGCACGTTACAGGTGGGCTGCTCTGGGAGGGAGAATCCTCAGGAGGATCCCGTCCTGCCTTCCCGGCTGGGGAACTGTGGAGATCATTTTCTGAACCTGAGAGAGGCTCAGGCTCTCAGGGGCTGAGCTGTTCCCAAGGGAAAGTCTTTTGGGAACTTCTTCTCTCTTGAGAACTGCTGTGTAAATAAGGTTTTGGATCCTCAAAACAATGGCACATGTTCTCAGAGTGTTTTTCCCTTGTCCCTCAAAACAATGGCACATGTTCTCAGAGTGTTTTTCTCTTGTCCCACCAAAGGGCTGAGGGAGGTGTTGTTCCTTACACCAATCAGGCCAACCTGTATTGGAACATCTTATAAAAAGGACTGAAAACCCCAAAATAAAGGCTTTTGCCTCCTGAAATAAACCTTGGATGCTGTGTGGGATTGAACCCTCGCTCTGTACTTGGTGTCCCCTAGTGACAGGGGACAGCCAGCGGCAGGGCTCAGCTCTGGCCTCCACACACCCCTGTGGATGGGATTTCTCACATCAAACCACTCAATTAAAAGCCCTTCTAACAGTTCTCAGACTGCTTGCTTTCTGAGCCTCAGAAGCAGATAGCAAAGCTTTGAAGATCAATGTTTTGGGGGGGTTTTGGGGTTTTTTCCCTCCTTTCTGCAGTAGTGAAGCACTAAGCTGATCAGATTTAGGCAAGCATAGCTGGACCCAGTGGCTTTTGGCTCTTCTGGCCTAATTAATATTGATATAAAGCACCTACACAGCTTCAGGAGTTTCTTATCTGGTGTTCAGAGGTGCTGAGCAACACGCTGAAGCCCACTGAAGCTTCTGATTTTCTGTCAAATCAAGAACCTGACCGATCTCACCTGGTAAACTTCAGCTGCTGCCACCCGCGTGTGTCCGTCCTGCCTCGGTTTCAAAGCAGGCTCTTCTAAACTGCCAGTAAATCCTCTCCTTTTAATCTGCCCAGCAGCGAGGAGCTCTCGGTGCTTCCTCCCAGGCCCTAATTTGTGCATTTTCCTCCCTGACGAGATCAGTGGGTATCACAATTCTGCTGATCTGAAAGGGTGTGGGTGATCCTGCTCCACGTTATGCTAAAAAGAATTTAAACCTGAATGCTCTGCTTAGTTAATGATAATGCCTGAGCACATTACATCTTCCAGGAGCTGTACAAACATTAACTAATTAGTACCCCCACTAATACATAATAGGCCGGCACGGGCTGTAATTATGCATTGCTATCAGAGCTGGAGGAATTATTCATTGAGAAGAATTTATCCGAGACATTTTGCTTTTTCTTTTTTTCTTTCCCCCCACTTTCCTGTCATGAATCTGTTTGCAAAATATTCCCAGGTGTGGTTGTAGCTGCTCCCACCCCAGCCCCAGCGGGAGGAAAAGGTGTTCTCGGGATTCTGTGCCATCAGTTCCTCCTTTTGTTTGATCCCAGAATCCCTGAGTGGGTTGGGAGGGACCTTAAAGCTCATCCAGTTCCAAACCCCAGCATTTTGGGGCTGTTTATTTTGGGATTATTATTTATTTGGGACTATTATTTATTTGGGACTATTACTTATTTTGGGACTATTATTCATTTGGGACTATTACTTATTTTGGACTATTAATTATTTTGGGACTATTACTTATTTTGGGACTATTATTTATTTTGGACAATTACTTATTCAGGGACTTATTATCTCCAGACTCAGGTGAGCCAGGCCCCCAAAGCATCCCCTCCACATCCCCTCTGCCCTGAGTGTGAATTTATGGCTGAATGCTCTTGGAGGGTTTTTCCAACCTCAATAATCCTGTGAAATTCTTATCAAGGGAAGGGACAAAGTGGTGGGAAGGGGAATGGATGCAGGAAAAAGGAATTAAAAAATCCCATGATTGAGTAAATCCATTCTGAGTGGTTGTATTGGAATTTAATTTAATGAAAACTTGTATATATCTCTCCAGATAATACATATATACATGCATCTATATATAGAGAAAGCTATAAATGTATTTATATCATGAGGGAAGTGCACTCTGTCACTGCTGCTTCTGCAAATGTCTCTGTATTCAGATTTGCTGTTTAATTGTTGCTGCTTTCCCAGCACTTTTGGGAGCATGAGGGAGATTGGAAGTGTTTAATCTTGGAAAAGAGATGACTGAGATGAGGCGTGATTAAAGAATTCTCAATAATGGCTGATTTCAACAAGAGTTATTTGGAGCTTCTCCTCTGTCTCGCTGCTCAGAAATTAGGAGATAGTGAAACTGAAAGATGGGAGGCAAAAAAAAATAAAAAATTCAGGCAGAAATACTTTTCTTCATTAGAAAAATAAATCTGGGGGAGTCGCAGTCATGAGATGTCCACGGGCTGAGATTTCCTGGCTTTAAAGAGAAATGGGCAGGAACAACTAAAAATGGATCAGGTGGTACTTTCAAGATATGTACAGATATTTTAGAAAACATGTAGAGATATTTTATGGGATATGTGCAGATATTTTATGAAATGTCTGTGTATTTTAAGAACTATTCCCAGATTGCAGTGGACCATGGCAGGGGTTGGAAGGAGAAAGTTCCTTCCAACCCAAATCAATCCATGAAACGATGATTTATGATATAAAATTTCATTCTTTGAGTTTAAGCCAGCCTCAGATCATGAGGAAAAAGATGATTTTCTCATCTGGTAAATTATTTTTACTCCTCTTGCTGTCTCTTTTGGTTGCTCTGCCCACACTGGTCAGAGGGAGCTGAAAGTCCCCGGATCCGGAACATTCCTTTGGGTGAAACGAGGCTCTCCCTTTACAGAAAACACCCCTAGAAGTACATCCCTTATGGAACTCCTCTCCTGTCTGCCATATTCACACTTTTTGTTAACAGTTGCTCGGATTTTGGTCTGCTGCTCAAAGCCACACTCTAAAAATTCCCCCCGTCGTCTCCTGGGGCGGCCGCAGATGGAGCAGAAGGCTGAGGGGAAGAGCTGCAGGGAAGTCTCTCGTTGCCTCCCCTGGCATTTTATGATCCTCTCTCTCAAAGAAGAGGAGGTGAAAATACAAATATGGGCTAAAAGTAGCCTGTTAGTCTGGGAAAGCTCTGGGATCACTGTGGTGGGCACAGCATCCTTCAGGTAACCACAGCAACCAGGGGGGGTCGTGTTCTTCGCAGGGAGGACTCAGAAAATGCCATTTTTTTGTCAAAAGTGGGGGATTTATAAATACCTGCCGGGAATGTGCTCCCCAGGATCGGTCCTTGTCGTGGTTTTAATGGTGTTCCAGTGAAAAAAGGGCTGTTAATAGCTTTTACTGAGGAAATAAAAGGAGGAGAACTCATGTCTCAGGTGAGAATTTGTCTGATCCGACCGCAGGATCTGTTTTTGGCCTGTCCAGGTGTACTTGGCTGGAGGATCTTCAAAGAATTTATAAGAAAAAAAGGCATTAATTAGTCCTGAAGGTGGCTTTTGTGCATGAAGTAAAAGGGTCTGGAGAGTGATGCTGGGACAGAAATCCAGTGCCCTTCCCCAAACCCAAGGAACGACATCTGGAACCCCCCTGCCCACGGCAGGGCTGGAACTGGATGAGCTTTAAGGCTCCTTCCAAGCCAAACCATTCTGTGATTTCATGATTTTATGATTTTTTGACTTTATGATTCTTTGATTCCAATCCCATCATTCAGAGCCAGGGCATCTTTTGGCCAGTTTCTCTGGGGGCTGGCGGTAGAAAATTTGTTGTTTAGCTGCCCGAAGAGTGAGTTTTGACTACAAAAACCAAGCACTGAGACAGAGAAATCAGCCCATGGGGCTCTGGGGACATGAGGTGATGCCAGGGGAGCTGAGGTGGGAATGGGGAGTCCTGGGGTGAGGGGAGTGGGGTTCACTGAGGGACATTCCCTGGACACTCTGTGTGGGCCAGGGTTGGTCCTGCCTTGGGGCTGGGTCTGCTCTTGATGCCTGAGGGTTTCAGCTTTTCCATTTCCCATGTGTTTGTGACCCTGCAGCTCTTCAGTGTGGAACTCCAAACTCCACACCCAGCGGCAGCTGCTGCTTCCCCACTTTGGGCAGACACAGCAATTCCTCTCCAGGCCTGGCAGCCAAGGACACCTCACTGCCTCAGGCCCCAGAGATGCAAACAAAAGGGAGCTGGGGGCAGCAAACTTGGGGGAAATCCCTTCATTCCCTGCAGCTGGAATTGGGAGATGAACCCCAATGTGCAAATGGACCAAACTTATAAAAGTGGGAAACCTGTGACTATCTGTCCATTTGGGGTGGGTTTTGTCTGCCTGAAATGCACCTGCAGGCCCTTCCATAAACAGAACTGCTTTTTATTCCCTGAATTTTGTCTGGCCTCCATTTTTAGGTAGTCCCAAAAAGGCATCACTCTCCTGCATCCCAGCCCCAGCTGCTCTGGCTCCGTGTCCCTGGAGATGATGTTCCTAAATGCCTGTTTCCCTGACAACCAAAGCCTAACAAATGATTGGTCAATTGATAAATATTTTTAGGATGGAGCACAGTTTATAACCTGCTGCCAGATTTCCTGGGGAATGGGATATGGGAGATCTGAGCCCCAGCTTTGGCACAGACTCTCCAAGCCTGGCTAAACCTAAATTCTCTTTGTGGTGATTTTGTGCTCCTTGGAGCCATCAAACCCAAGTGGCCGCTAATTAATCACAAATAAAACCCAGCCCAATTCTGATGTACACAGGGATGCACAGGCACGCCTGGCTCCTTTCTCCCACTTGCAGGAGCAGCCCCAAAATGATCCCAGGGATGTCACAAAGGGCTGCTCCTGACAAAGCTAAATTAAAGGAATGGATGCTGTTTCATTTTCCCTGGCAGGGAGATGAGAGGGATCGTGCTCATTCCTCTTTGTAGATATGGAAATTCCCCATTATACACATCTGGCATGGGCACTAATGAGAGCTCCTCAAAAAGCTGGGCTTTTGAAGAAAATTCGTGGCAGCGCCCTGAATTATGGGGGAAAAAAGGAGAACATCATATCCAGGCATCTTTTTTCCTACCCTGTCCTACTGAAATATTAAGTTAATGTCTCTAAATAGCTGGAATTTGGGATGTCTGTAATTCCTGGGTTTGGGGATTCATTTGAGTCTGGTTCTCTTTGAATTGTTTAACCCTTGCATTAAAAACATCAATTGAGCAGTAACAAAATTCATTTTTCTCTCCTTATTTCCTTCCCTTGGCTGGTTTTGATTATTGAGCTTGTAAATTACTTGGGAGCAGAGAAATTTTCTTTTGTGGGAGCGGCACAAAGGGGGTGATCTTGCTCAGTGATTCACAGCTGCTTAGATAAACTTGTTTTGGAGTAATCTTTACCTATTTCATGCTTTTTTGAGTGTTTTTTTTTTATTTGTTGGCTTGTTTGTGAGACTCTGATAAACTGAAGTACAGAAAAATAAGCGATGAATCAGAGTGGTGGCTCAGGAACCAGGTCCTCGTTGCTTTTGATGGGATGAGAGCCAGAAAAATGAGATTTGTTGGCCCAAAATTGCAGCAGTTTTAGGGTAGAGCAGGGAATTGAGGTCGGGGATTGTTCCCAAACAAGTGGGACTTTTTGTCAGGCACCTGGGCAAGAAAGAATCCCCAAAAACTTGGCACAGGGGAAGGAACGGGCAGCAGGAAGAGCTGTGATTCCACATTCCTTTGGACAGGTACTTCCATCATTCCAACAGACACCAGGAAAGGTGGAATCCTCTCCCCTGGGAGCCTGGGGCTGTTGGGGTTATCCTGGCATTCCCAGGTTTGGGTTTTACCCCGGGATAGAATCCAGCAGAGGTGAGAGAACGCTCTCACCTGATGTCCAGGAACTCCCACTGTGCTGGAAAAGGAGACACAGCCTCCCTTATTTTGGGCGTCTGGTGATGTAAAAGCTGCTTTTTTTGTGTTTCCTCAGCACTTTGGGGCCTGTGGGTCACACCTGCATTTGTGTTTGGCTGATTCACACTTGGACTCGGTGACCTGGGAGGTCTTTTCCAGCACTGATGATTTTATGGGTAGTTTTACCTGTACATTTGAGGCAGAGATTTCCATGGATTGATGTCTCCAATAACCCCAACATCAGCAGCAAGTTAAGCTGACACCAAGGCTGGATCCCTGCTGTCTCTCCTCAGGCTGCAGCTCAGATTTCACTTTCCAGCGCTCCTGGAGGAGGTTGTTTACCTCCCTCACCCACCTGGCTCCCCCCTTTCATGCCAGGATTGTGCGGAGCAGCTCTTTTCCCTCCGAAAGCTTCACCTGGGTGCGTTTCCCAGGGATGAATGGAAATCAGGCACCCAGGAAGTTTTGCTGTTGGTTTGCCAGGAACCAAGATTCCATTTGAAGTGAGCAGAGGAACAGTAATAGAGCAGCGGGGAATTCCGTGAAGGGAATTTATGTGGAAGGGAATCGATTTCCTGCCTGTCCTCCACTCAGAGAGAATTCGTGCTGGTTTTGAAGCAGCCGCCAATACCTGTGGGGTGAGTTCAGCTGTAT